GAAAAGGAGTGCAATCCCCGTGTTGGGAAGAGTGGGATAGGACAGTAGTGTTGTAATTTCTTCTGTGAAAAGGGATCTCTAACTTTATAAGTGTATTTCATGAGTACTTTGTTTACATGCAAACATGATCATTAAACTGCATCTGATTATGAGGTGTTTTATGATTAATTTCAGAATTATTTAACCTTGTTTGTGTCATTGCTTCAGCAAATTACTGACATCATCAAAAACACTGCATCGTGGAACTGAGGCTGCAGAAAATGAGTTCTCCAGTAGGGATTCATCTACCTTTTCTGGCAAAATGTTTGTCTCGAGTGACTCAAGTTTTCCCATGTCTTTCTAGTACAGTTCAGCTAGGACCAAAGCTGACTGGTATTTTAGGTGATTGCTTGAGACTAACTTAACCTTATACCATTTTGAGAGAGTCACGCTGTCACTTTTTATTGTTTGTGGGCCCCTCGTTGAAAACTCACAGCCAAGTCTATTTTAATATTCCTCCACATCTCTGCTTTACTGTTACTTGACACAGTGGACCCTGGATCAGAGGTGGGCTATATGGAAAAATAGCCTGCTAGAGTATGTTATATGTGACTTCTGTCTGATTCAAACTTTTTATCTGGCAGTGACTGAAGGAGAAAAACCACTTAACTAAAGTTGAAATTAATTGCAAGCCTCTTGTAGATTAGATTATCTTCTTATATCAAACCATAATTAAGTATAACATTAACAGAGTGTAACTTAAAAAGAAGAGAGATGGATGCAATTGATAATGGCTTTGGGTTTATATTTTAGCTTTGGGAAGGTATGTTGCACTGCTATCAACAGTGTCTCTCACTGAAATTTTCTCAGCGTTTACTTGTAAAAGCACTAGAAGTTGTCATTCACTACAGACCATATTAAAATCTTTAGAACAGGAGAAGAAACAATTCCTTTTTAGTGTGTGAATTTTAGCACGAGTGGTAGATAGCACAAGATGAGAATAGGGACTGCAGAGAAAAAAAGCAGAATCAAGCCAAATGTGGCATGAAGTGGGAAAGAATGACTTTAACTTAGCTTCTCTTAACATTTACATGATTTTGAGTGTTTTCTGAGCATAGAACATGACCAGTGTCACCAGAAAATGAAGCATTTCTTAAACCAATTTAACATGCTCCAATGAATACAAGAAAAATAAAGCTATCCATTCAAATTACCCTTTATTGTATAGATTTGGAACTCTTCTGTGATTATGGTAGGAAAAAAAAAAATCCTTAGAGTCTCACTAAGCAGTTGCCACTAAAGCAGATGTTGGTACAGATTTTTTTGTTTTTAACTGAGTGTGTGTGAGCCTGAGGGACCAGTCTTCCTAGTTGTATCTTGATTGGTCTGCTATGTAATCAAATTATCAGTTAACTGTCTTTAACAGGGTGCTATTTTTGCATTGTTTGCTGGAGTGTGTCCAGCTAACAGCTTTTAAGAAGTCCAGTAAGATCAAAAGTGTATTTCTGAAAGCTAGTATTCAAAGACGTAGTCCAGATCTGTCCAGCAAAAATGGTACTAATTAAAAAACAATGTGCTTTTTCCATTGAATCGATTAGATTTTTTTTTTTAAATTAACCTTTTAAACTGTATATTATGGAGTTGTGCTCTGTAGCAAAGATGGGCATTGTTTGTTCCATAGCCTGTGTAATAATTAGTACCAAATAACTTGTCACTGTTAGGTAAGGTAATGATATAGAACAGCTTTGTCATGTCGCTATTGCAAGCATTTATTGCTGAAATCAAGGGTTGGGTATTATTGAGGTACCCTAAACTTCCCTAAGACAATACTTTTAAAAACCCAGCTATGTGTTTCTTCATGGTAATCTGGAGAGTCATTCAGTCTGACATAAGAACAGGTCACTTTGAACTCCCACAATTCTAACATATGTTATTTGTGTTACGGGAAGGCCACAGGTTGGGACCTCGTTTGTGCCTGGTATTGTGCAAACAAGCTACGTCTTCTGAGTCCCCATGTTGTGCCCTGAGCGTAAAGCCTCCCTCACCTCCCTGGTCTTGATGCTGTTTAGCCTTAAGGCACAAGGGAATTAACTGGATAGAATGTGCGCACCAGTTTTATGCTGTATTCTCAAACTTCTCTTTCAGCCTGCACCTTTGCCTGTCTAGCATAATATCTTTCCTTCTCCCCTTTTTTCTCTCTTTCTTAAAACTTCCCAATCTTCAGATCAAATTTCAGATTTCTGTGATAATTTTACGTAAACCTAGAGGAATATGACAACTCGGGGTATCTAAGAACCAAATCTGGTCCTTTAACAGTCGCTAAATGTACTCTCAGTCATGAAAGCTGTCTCTCGGTGGAAAAAATATTCAGAGTTTATTTATATTTTAATGTTAATTTGTTCAGCAGTAAGGAAGATAAGTATAATTTGCCTATCATCCTTAAAGGGGCAGGGAAAAATCTTGTATTGGTTTTAATTGCAATATCTTGTCTAAAAGCAGCTCAGTGTCTGTGCAGATTTCTTTGTTCTGTGCCCTTCTCAGAATTTTTTTCAGGGCAGGTTATAGTCTGGGGGATTGGTCCATAAGAAAGATGTGTGGTTGATGGACTAAGGGTGACAAATAAAAGGCAGCAAGTTCGTCTTGGTGTCCTCCTGTTTCAACAGTGATGATTGCAGCTGATTTTGATGTAACTTTAGCATTGATCTATCCTAGTACTGTAGGTGAAGGAATGCTGAGTGGCACAAGTGACTTCAATTATCTGCTTGAAACTGGGAGATGATGAAGAGAGGTTTTGTGCAAATCATACCTTGTGAGGGCTATGACCTTGTTGGAGTAATCAACGTTTGACTGTATTAGAGAATAAATTGATAAATATATTGATTATTATCTATGCCTTTTTCTCCTCACATATTTCCTTCCTAACATCAGATTTGGAACTAGCTAGCAAGAATAAATATGAACAGTTGTGGAAGAGTTACACATCACATTTATTTTTCTTGCTTTTTACATAGGTAACCTTCATCTTTCTCCCTAAGCTGCTTTGCATATATAGGCTGTTTGTGTGTGTATTTGTATTTGTTTTTTCTCCATTCCTCCCTGCAATTTCTTTATCTGAAAACCATGGGTACAGATCAGTTGAATGGTAAGGAAACAGCTTTTAAAACTTTAATTCAACCCCCTAATTCAAATAGATTTCAATTCAGCTAGGTTGTTTTACTGATAATATTTTTGTTACAGCTTTGTGAGCTGTGAACACTTGGGTTTAGCAAGAGGGGAAACGGCTATGGGAATGTGTAGCTGACGTTTTCTCAGGTATGCCTCTGAGAGGTGAGGTAGTTCTGTAGTTTTTTCAGATAAACAGATGAAAAAATAAGATGTAAGATACAAATGGAGAAAAACTAAGATTTTTTTTTTAATAACTTTTTAGAGACCCTAATATGTACAGTTTCTACTTACAGCAAAGCTAAACAATTTATTTATGCAATAAGCTGTCCTATTTTGCCTGAAAGGGAGGAGGGATTAAGACATTCTTATCATAGCCTTTTTTTGTCTTAAGAACAAAGAAAAAAAAATTACTTTCTAGCTGCCTTCTGTGTTCATGTGGTGACACCTGTCATGGAGGGAGATGTAGTTCCAGACTCTATTTTCCCACAGTTTTTGAAGTCTGATTTAATTTGATCTGTTGTTCTTCCTTTTGGGGTAGGTTTCACAGGCCATTAAATGACTACAGTAGTGTAGCATAGGCATTGACTTGACACAAATCTTTTGTTCACTCCGTCACTTGCTTGGCAGTTCTTTAGGATTACGAGCAGAAGTGAAAACTGATACATTGCACGCAATGCTTGAGTATCATAATACAAAGAGGGAATAATGTGCATTGCTTGTTTTTGCAGGGAGCCGACACCCTCAAATATAATGCTTCTATTTTGTGCTGGGCTTATTTCGAGCTGAAGATGTAAGCTTTAGGAGCAGATCCTCCGAGGCAGCCTGTGATAATAAATAATTTCTTTTCTGTTTTTCATTTATGCTTCAAGTTTCACTTGAAGCACTTATAAATTACGAGTTTTATAAGTTTTATTTTGTCTATTTCTTTCTCATGTATAATATTAGTGTTATGTGGTTACATACTAATTTTAATAAATAGGTTCGTAACAGTTTTCTGAAGTCAGATTTTGAAGGCAGATGCTTCTTTGTCTTACTAGTAATGTGCAAAAACTGTTTTTAAATTCTCTGTGGTGAAATGTCTCTAGGTAATGAGAGGATGTTATTTACTGTCTTGTCTTTACTTCTCAAGATGCTTCTGTCTAGCAGATGAGTTGTATATTTTTAGTGTTTCAGGTCTGTTTCAGATTAACTTGGACAGCGGTGTTCTTAAAGAAGATGCAGTTGAAAGTTATTAAGCACGGGTGTTTTTATTAGTATCGTGTGGTGTGAAATTAGGGCAAAGGTCATGTTCATATTGTCCCTTTTATCAGATTAATGTAGGTTGTTTCATCAAATGCCAAAATAAATGGGGAGGTGTGTTACAGGTTTTGAAATTGTTGAGCAGTGAATGTTAAATTTGTCTTACACAACCATTTGAGGGACAAACACAGTATTCTCTAGTGCAAATGGTTTTCCAAGGCAGCAATTACATTCTTAAAATCTAAACATCAAGGGTATTTTAGTATTGTCACACAGAACAGAGAAACAGCGGTAAGACTCAGCTCCGCTTAGCAGGTTATCAGGTAAAGCTTCTGTATTTGCAGTTTCGCAGGAGTGAATACCCCTGCTGTGTAGGAGGGCCAAAGGGCAGCCACGGGGGGTGTGTGCATATGTATGTGCAAACAAACTTGCTTTTTTGCTGCTCTTTTATTTCCTTTGCATAGATTCGTCGAAGGCGCCTTGCTCGGCTGGCGGGTGGACCATCTTCCCAGCCTACGACGCCACTTACGTCACCGCAGAGGGAAACCCCACCTGGACCACCTGTAGTAGCACCGGCCCCGGGGCCATCCCATAGTCTAGGCCTAAATGTCCATAGCATGACCCCAGCTACCTCTCCGATTGGTGCATCAGGTAGGCAGGCACGGTAGTGACAAAAATTATTGCTGTACATCCACCGGGAGTTGTTAGGCGGCTCCTTGTCTTTAGAACACGAACATTGCTACTGGTGTTATTTCTGCTGTTACTAAAAGTCATTTTCAGAAAGAAACGTTCTAAAATGTTGGATGAAGGTACTTTTTGCTTTCATTTTGCAAATAATAAGTGGTTAGATACAATTGTTGTCCAGGTGTAAGTAAACTAATGGCATTTAAAGTAAGGGTTACCAAAACTTGAAGTTTGTAATACAGTTGAATATTACAGAAAAGAAAGCCAATCTGTTCAGGAGAAGGGGAGAAACCCTTTTCAGTCTTGCAACACAGTTTTTATTGATTGATTTCTAGGTACATTTTAGCAATCAGTCCCAAGTTCATTTTTGATCTTTAATTACTAGCATTTGGCACAATTAAAAACAGTAGGCTGTGACTGTGCATTGTCAATGTAAGAATAAAGTATTTGTCTTCTCTTTTGTATTACTTTGCCAATTGCACTGGTTTTGGAGTGAATACAAGTAGGATATTTATAAATGGTATTTATTTCAGAAAATAGAAATAATACCCGATCTATTAAAATCGGACAAATGCAGGAAGCATGGAAAGTTGGGAGGGTTGCTCTATAGAGAGGTGAAGACAATATTCTTCTATATAATACCACTTTTGACCTAAAAAAAGAAAAATTTTTTATTTCAAGTTGGCTGTCTTGGAAATCGAAACAAATTGGCGTGTTTTCCAGTATTGTGATCTTTATCTGAAAACTTAAATTGTTCTGCGTGTTGTGTTACTAAGTGAAGAGGTTCATAAAACCAATCTCAAAACAAATGTCAAGATTGTTTTAAACAGGTTTTCAGTATGGTTTCTAGACCATATTGAGGTATAGAATATAGAATTTGATAGAAATAATATTTTTTTTCCAATGCTTCTTGATAAGCATGCAGAATTCTGTATCTATTTACTTACTTGCTTTCTGAAATTTTATGTTTTTCCCTTTGGCAAGTACAGTAGTTCACAAGCTTAAATCTTGTAATTTAATTACAGTGGTGTTCTGAAATACCTAGAAGTGACTCCTGCTTATTTTGTTCACTTGTATCCAAAGCAGGACAGAGAAAAGCCATCAAAAGCATTTCCTGAGGAAAGCTCATTGCAGATGGAATTTAACACTGTGTATTGTCCTCATGATTGTAGACAGCAACCCAGAAGCAAAGGTGACTTTTTTTAAGAACAGTGCAGAGTTCACTTACTGTGTTCACTCAGCCTGTGGTTACGTGACTGTTTTAATCTGTCTTGGGTCTGACTCTTGCTGAAACGAGTATTTCTCACTGCCTCTCTCTCTGCTGTCCGTAGCAACTGTGTGGTGAGGTGGATCATGGACTTAATCCAGGTGAAAACTAACCCAGGAAAAATAAATGGTTAGTTTTCAAATAGATGAGGTCCTAATCCATCTTAATGCACAACTGTGTAAGTGATAATGCCAACAGGGCAGGAGGTGTGGAAACACGTACCTGAAGGTAGAAGTGTTTGTGTATTGGCAGACAGGTTTATCCTGGTTTGAAGTGGTCAGATAGCTAAGACTTTAGAGATTTCTGTCTCTCACATTAGAGTTCATCTGTCTGCACCGGCCAGTACCGGACTGTACAGACCAGCTTGCTTAGTGACCAGAAACACGCTACCTCGTCAGTGTAGTGTTGGCTTCCAGTGCCGTTCATTGCAGAAATTTGATGTGTTTCTTTTTCACACCAGGGTAAGAGATATGGTTAAATTGGGGAACAGATCAGGAAAAAAATGTTCACAACTGATTATCTGCTGTATTTATTTAGCATAAATGAAGACTCAGCTAATGCTGTGTGGTTTGGAGGAGTTCCTTTGAGCAGTAAACTAAAATGACTGTGGAGGATTTTAATTCTTTTGGACATACAGAGAGCAGTCCCAGCAGAATAGTGCCCTTGTAAGCATCCATTTTTATAAGAAGTTGCATGTCATGGTGAGATCAGACTTATGCATCAATTTCATGGAAAATATGATCATTATTTTGTATGTATTCGGAAAATATTTTGGAGAGCCTAGAAACAGTGTATCAATGACAGCCACACATACTGGGTGTGTGGTCTTCATAATTTTTGCATGTCTCTGTATGCTGTTGTGTTTCCTTTTTTTTTCTTTTTTTTTTTTAAAGGAAAACTGGAACTTCGGGTGTTGGGTATTTTATTGTATACCTGATCCAGCGAAGTACAGATGCAAGTAAATTCTGGAAGATTGATTGTGAAAAGGTGGTAGGTAGGACAGTTTGTTTGAAGAGGTCTGTTAATGAGTGCTGCAGTATAACTTACAGTACATTTTCCTGGCAGTGTGAGTAAGACCCCAAGGGGATGTAGAACAATGCACTTCTTCACCCTGGTAAGCCATGCGTTTCTTTATCCACTGACTTAGCTAGCTTTTTCTTTGGGAAGAGGGAGGAGGAGAGAGGAAGGACTCAAGGAAGACTGCCCCTTTGTAATTGATGATGTACTGAAGGAGAACAAGGCTGTAACTGGGGTATCCTAAATCAGCGACATGTGGGAATACCCAGCCCTCCCCTGCCATGGACAGCATATTTCTGTCTGCTGGGTGTTATCTCTAGGGAAACTACATCACTGAAATTCTGCTTTTGGAAGTTGCTTTTCTTTAAACTGATTGATCTGAGCAACTTTGCTCGGTTCAGACACTATACCTGATATTTCTATGTCCCTGGTTTTGTGGAGAAACTGTACTAGGCTTTGGGCCTGTGCCTCGTGCGAGGACTTCCAGTGTCAAAGCTGTAATATACATCACTAAAATTCCAGGACTGAAGGAAATAGCCACTTAGAACTGAAATGGAGCTTTTCTTGACATTTTCCTGCTTCCTGGGTGAAATCTTTTGCAGACATGTAATACTGGCAAATAGGTGGTTACGTGAAATCTAACTTTTCTTCGAGGATCTTTGTTCCTACCTCTATTTTTCTTTTCATATTGAAAACCTAATGGGCTCAAGAATGTTGTTTGAATGTTGTTTATGAATGAATGATAATACCCAGCTACAGCCCTAAAATTACTAACCAAAGCATAGAAGCTTTGAACAAAGCTGAGTAAAATTTACATTTGGCAGGTATTTTGTGATAGGTGCAAGTTACGTCTGCATTCTGTGTTGTCTTGCTATACTTTAGAGTGCTTTTCAGTTTTAGAACGTAGGTGTTTGGACAATCTGCTTGTTAAATTCTTTTCTGACTACCAATGCAAATTAATTTTACCTTGCACATCTTTTTTCACTTTCTGTTTGAAGATCTGAGTGTTTTCTCAATACTGACTGAGATCCAGCCTAATACAAGGAGTTAAGTATAAACTGTTTTTTATACCCAGGGAAGTAAAACGGGAGTTTCAAAGTGGTAGAGTGAAGCAACTTTTTCTACCTCCCATGCTGGATATCTAGTTGTTCTTCAGCAAACTGTCCTCTAAATGGGATTTTTCTGCCTTCTGCAGTTTTGTTCCTGTAAAATGAACTGTTTCAAGACCTAGAAGAAGCTTTGGGAAGGGTGCTTGAAAACAGCTTGTGTCAAAGAACATAATCCTGATTTGTTCTGTTTTGCTGCCCCCACTGTTAACTTCAGAACGTGTTGCTGCCACTGTGGGACAAGCTTGCACTTTTCAGTAGTAACAGTGAAACACAGCCAGTGCTGGAATTTAAAAAAAATAGGTTGTCAATCTGGTTTTACACTTCTCACCTGAAATGTAATACTGTTTGGGGAATGTCTTGTAAACTGCAGGTGAAAGAACCCAAAGGATTGAAATTCACTGCTGCTTTCTTTTTAAACACAGATGAATAATACCTTTTTTTTTTCTGCTCCTTCAAGGAGTCTGTTTACTGACATGCAAAACCTGATATTGATAAAACTACAGTTGCAACTTGCAATTAGTGCGATTTTATTATAAATCATGACTGCAAACAGTGTCACTAGGCACAAATTTTAGGAACAGACTGCGCTTAAGAGCCCCCTCCATTTAGATGTTTGTAGAACTCATTCAGCTTCTGTTGTTACTGAATGCAAGGCTTTTTCTGGATTATTTGGAATTATGCATTATAACTTTCTTCCTACCATGCTAGTATCTAACACTTCTCTGAGGAAGTCTTCACTGCAAAGTGAATGCATCTGTTCATATGCTGACGCTCATGAGCCATGCTCCAAAGCCATTATATTGCTTTCCATTTGCTGGTGTTGCACTTAGTGCATGTTGTTAGGACTTCTTGGATGCTTATTTTATTCTTGTGGAGAAGGAAAAGTACTGATAATTTCCCACTAAATTGTGGGAGGCTTTGTGGGAAGACTATCAGAACTTGGATTAGTTTTGTCCTGTACCCTCACCCAAGTAAACTCCATTGTAATAACCCAGTGACCTAGCGTGAAGTCCTATCCTGATAGGACTGACTTTAGAGGGGCTTTGACAAAGTCTTAAGGTAGTATATGGAGCAATCTTGTAAGAGATCAGTTTGCTGGTGGGTTTTTTTTATGGGAGTGAATCTCTGAGCACTTAACGGATGCAAATTTAGTTTTGTTTGCTGTGTTGTAATGCAGGTAAGCATTTCTATGTTGCTGCTGCAAGGGGAGGTAGAAAATGTGATTATCTGTAGTCAAATGTGAATATTATTACCATTTATTTCCTAATAAATTACTAAGAATGCTTAAGAGCTGGATTGAAAAACAGTATTTCCTCTCCTTTTCCATCCAAATAATTGTGTAGTGCCTTCTCATCTCTGTAGTAGTAATCTTGGTGGTGCCTTTTCTGTAGGAGTAGCCCACCGAAGCCAGAGCAGCGAAGGAGTGAGTTCACTCAGCAGTTCTCCATCTAACAGCCTTGAAACACAATCCCAGTCTCTCTCTCGGTCTCAGAGCATGGATATTGATAGTGTCTCCTGTGAGAAAAGGTAAAAAATGCAGCTTGTATAAGCCAGCAAATATTGTGCAATACTAACCATCAAAACATCTTACATCGGAAAATACTCTTCGTTTCTTGCTTCCAGCCCTGTTAATGCAATAGGGTTAAATGCTTGAAAATGACACACTGTTTAGACCACTGTAATGCTTGTTCTAGTCTGGTTTTAATGGGAATTCCTGACCTAAAATGATAAAAGACAAAGCATGATCTTAGATGTTAAGTGATGAGCATGTCTGGTGGGGATAATTCAGCTACTCTATTTAAAAAAGAAAAGGTTATGGGATGTGATAGCTGTGTAGTTTGTATTGCCTGCTGAAGAAATTTAGTACTGTGGTTTTTTAATTCAAAATGTAATATGAGAAGCATTTATCAACTAGGGATTTTAATTGCTGTTTGTGCATATGGCTATTCCTGTTGCATTGTTTTTTCTCTGCTGCTTCTACTTAAGATGATGCTTCTTCAGTCAGCATCTTACAGAGGACTGTGGCTTTCTGCAAGTTAATGGGCTGCTTCTCTTATTTCTGCTTACAGTATGTCCCAGGTAGATGTGGATTCAGGAATTGAAAACATGGAGGTTGATGAGAATGATCGCAGAGAGAAAAGGAGTCTGACGGATAAGGTTAGTCTGTTTTATGTTGGCTGTTCTCTTCCAGACTACATATGTATGTTACTATAACATCGAGCTTCAGGATTTCATGGGAGAATCCGTTCAGATTATGCAATTTGGAGTTAACAGTGCTGTGTTTTTTGTTTTCAGGGTAACGCATGCTTCTATTATGTAAAAAGTTAACTTTCTTTTATGAAGACTTCACCTCAGACTTTGCTTATATTGTTGTTTTTTCCCTCAGTGACAAAGCCTTACATGGCTGCAGCTTTGCAGTCTGTAATATTCCTGGGGCTTGCCTTGCATCCTCTTCTTTCTCAAAAGGGACAACATTGGGGTTTTTTGAGAAATTTCTTTACTAGAATTGTGTGTGGCAAGTGTTCCAAATAGTGGGATAGAAACAGGAACAGAGGATTTAGGATCATCGAATCGTTTAGCTTGGAAAAGACCTTTAAGATCATCCAGTCCAACCATTAACCTAACACTACCAAGTCCACCACTAAACCAGTTAAGGGGAGAGTAATAATTTCATGTTTCCTGGCTTGGTGGCTGGTTTATTTATTAATGAAAGTAAAAACTAGGAATCATTGAGGTTGGAAAGGATCTTTAAGATCATCAGTCCAACCATCAACCCAACACCTCCATGCCCCCTAAACCATGTCGCAAAATGCCATGTCTGCCCATTTTTTGAACACCTCCAGGGACAGGGACTCCACCACTTCTCTGGGCAGCCTGTTCTGATGCTTGACCACTCTTTCATGAATAAATTTTTCCTAATATCCAATTTAAACCTCCCCTGACACAGCTTGAGGCCCTTTTGTCTCATCCTATCACTCACTACTTGGGAGAAGAGCCCAACACCCACCTCACTACACCTCCTTTCAGGTAGCTGTAAAGAGCAATAAGGTCTCCCCTCAGCCTCCTCTTCTCCAGACTAAACAATCCCAGTTCCCTCAGCTGCTCCTCATAAGACTTGTGCTCTAGGCCCTTCACCAGCTTCCTTGCCCTTCTCTGGACACAGTGGAGGAGCGATGCAGAGTTTTAGCTTGCAGTGAATTCAGTTATCTCCACATTTTGAATACGTGCTTTTGAGAGGATGGAGCTAGCCCTCCAATGTAATCTGTGAAGAATTTCTTCGCTGCATTTCCTCATAAAAATTTGTGGGAAGGAAAAAAGTTAAAACTTTGAATATCAAAGCTGCATTTCGATTGTCTCAAATTCATTTATGAATGATATTTGAAAACTCTGAAGAAAATGTTTTTGTTATATATCCTACAACAAAGTGATCTATTAATGCCCAGACCTACTTTCTTTTAAATACACGGTAGGCCTGAAGAAGTATTTCTTAAGACACTTCTGAAGATTGTTGCAGCTTATTTGTGTAGCATTTAGAGGTCTACTAACAAAGTATTGTTTCAAATGTTATGTATGCTGAAATAATGCTATGTAGTAAGATTTTCTTCTCAATGATATTATAAGAAAATAAATATTTCACTATTGAGGTTTGGACAGGTGGTAGAACCCTTTAAAGTAGAAAAAGAAAGCAAGCAAGTACAAAGCGCTGTTTCACTCCTAAAATTGTCCTCTTTGTCATTTGATTTGAAGGCTCATGTGAAATAAAGCCATAAAGAAATGGGACATCAGTGTAGTGGAGAGAAGTTTCTACAACAATTCTTGCAGTGCTCATTAGATGTCTTTGTTTATTCCTGCACTGTCAGTAATAAGGTCAGTTGGTAAAAGCCTGGCTTAAAGCCATGTAGCCATAACCCTACTGCAGAATCCTTTCCAGTCAATTCCTAGCTGCAAATCAGGCAGTCGGACAGCTTGCATTGTGCTACTGTGAAATAAATACTTAGAATCAAGGACAATCTTGAAGGGGGTGGGAGCAATGGAAAGTAAAATAAAGCTGTGCAAACTTGGTTCAATTCCTCTTACTTATTTGGAGACACCCAAAAGTTAAGTGGCTGGGAGACAGCCTAGTCCTCATTTATGAGCAAAAAATCTTCTTGCCTGGTTATCTCCATGTGAAATGTTGTCAATAGTAAAGGCTTCTCTGCAGAAACAGGCAGAAGTACTTGAAAACAGTAGAGTACTAGTAGAGTGATTAAGTCAATAAAAATGTATTAACGTGCCAAAATTTGTCGTTTATTAAATGGTTTGAGGGAAAGCTTTTGAAAAGGGTACAGTGCTGGTAGTTGCTGGAAATCTCTGATAAATCTAGGCTTACCTGGTGGCTATTATGTGGTCTCAAATATAAAGGAAAAAAAAAAGGGAGCTTTTTAGTGGCAACCTTGGTGGGGTTTTTTTCCCCCAATCTGCATTTTGTTCTTCCCCATTGACTTATTTTTTTCTAAAAGAAGAGAGTATTACTATCAAGTAGTATGATATATAGCAGTACAATGTGCACTTGTATTAGCCAAGTATCAGACATTTTTTTTAGGTCTAGGAAATACCTACAACTCTCACAGGAGAACTCTTGCAGGAAAATAGCCTCAAATCTAAAACTTTGCCATCTTTGAAATTCTGTGCAGCTGAATTGTCTGTTTTGTGTATTCTGTTGCTTCTTCAGTGTTGGTAGAAGCTGGGGGGGCACACAGAGTTACGTTGCTGGCTTGTCATGTATGTTTTGGAAATGTTTTTAAATGGTACCTCTCCTCACATTGCAGGGGTAACTACTTGAGTTTTATTTCCTTGTGTTCCACCATTTTTTTTAGGTGCACACTCAAAGCTGCCTTAGGATTGCAAGAACCCTCCCATTTACCTTTGCTAGCCACTATATATGGTAGCATTCTTCTTAGAGAAACTAGTTTTTCATTTTGAGCACAGTTTACATGATGTTCCTTTTTTGGAAGAAAGGGGAATGAGGCAAATTCTTGAGTCTTTTGCCCTGTCCTGACTTCATTCAAGTGAAAGATGTCTTTGTTTTGGGCAAAGATTTGAAATCAGGGAAGACATGGGGAAGCTCGCTCCTTCCTGTGCTTTCATTTTTACAAGAAACTGTTAATATCTGTGCATAATGAAAATTTGAATCCCCAATTAATTCCTTAAAGGAGAAATTGTAGGTATTTTGGTTAAATTTCCCTTCTTACTATACTGTTTTCGACCATGTTTTGGGAATTTACTTCCTACTAGATTTGTGTATTTCTTCTACATGTTTTCTGCATCTCTTTTGTGTTTCTTCAGGGTTTTTTCCAAATAAATTTTGATAAATACATCTATATTCCTTTCTAAGCGTACAAAATCTGCCATTAAGAGTTAGTCTGAAGCCATTTAAAGAAGGCCTGCATCTGATAAAAATGTGACTTGACTAATACAATTGCAAATAAGTTGATCTTTTTTTTTTTCCTTTACCTCCCCCTCCAACCAAGGAACCTCTGTCTGGGTCTGAAGTATCTGAGGAACAAGCGTTACAGCTGGTCTGTAAGATCTTCAGAGTCTCTTGGAAGGACCGAGACAGAGATGTTATCTTCCTGAATTCACTCTCTGCCCAGTTTAAGCAGAACCCAAAGGAAGGTAGGTATCTGAACTGTTACCGTTGTTAGGGATTGTTTCAGTTGAGTGGCATGTTCCCTGCTCTTATTTTTAGCTTTTTCTGTCTTTGCTACAGTGCCAGAGCCACCTGATTGTGGTCTTTGCTTGATTTCAGCATCTGCTATCAGCAGATGTAGCAGGAAATGGAATCCCCAAAAAGGAACACGGGACTGATTGGTCACAGCTCCTGTTTCAGTCAATTGCTATGCTCCTGTTGGTTGTGTTTTCTGTTGTCAAGCTAGTGTGATGACACTGCAGTGCTGCTGGATTTTTTTTTTTTCCCAGAAACCTTTTACTGATTGAATGGGTTGTCTTGCATCATAATAGACATTTAGCAGTTAATTTGATAAGCTAAGAATTCCTGATTATTTTATATAATGAATTATATTTTATGTCAGCTATAGGATATGACCAAATTGAAAATTGTTATTTTATGTGTGGGCATATGTGCGGTGGGGTGCATGTGCATGCCTTTTTTTCCTTTTCTTATGACACAACTTGCCCAACTCGACAGCAGGGTGGGAAAATGAGACAACTTTAATAATAAACAATAACAACATTAGGTCATCTATGATCTTTTGTACTTTCCATAAAAGTAATGTTTTTGTGTAGCTGTAGTTTCAGAACCTAGTTAATATAGACAGAGTGATAGTTACAAATATAAGTATCAGTGTATTGTTTTTGCCAAAAGCAGCACTTAATTCACAGAACTACTGTCCTTTTTAGATGAAATCTCTGATAATGCTTACATATCTGACTAATGTGTAGATGTAGGTGAGGATACTAACTCTCTTCTTTTATTCTTAACAGTGTTTTCAGATTTTAAGGACTTGATCGGGCAGATTTTGATGGAAGTGTTGATGATGTCCACCCAGTCAAGGGATGAAAACCCATTTGCTAGCCTGACAGCTACATCACAACCGATTGCTGCAGCTGCCCGGTCTCCTGACAGAAGCCTGATTTTAAATACGGGCTCTAATCCAGGAAGCAGCCCTATGTTCTGTAACGTGGGCTCCTTTGGTTCCAGTTCATTATCCAGGTGACTTCTGATTATAACTGCATACTGATTTCACTTGAATATTGATTGGTATACTAGAAGAGACAGAGGGGCATAGAAATGTCCCAAGAACAGTAAATAGAGTAGATTTCTAAAGTTCTTCACTCTTTTACATGTGAATGTCCTTCCATTTCACCATTTTTGATTACATTGCCATGGCTAGAAGTGTATTTTATAGGTTAAAGCCATGTAGCTGGTTCCTTCTGAGAAGTATCCCTAATTTGGCATCAGTGAAGGCTGTGACTATGACTCTTAACTTAAAACTGTGTAGATTGTGACATAGTTTTATTCAACATTAGTAAAAAGGAGTAATGTATGTGAGCTGCAGAATTATTGCTGAAGAGTCGTCAGAAGGGCAAGGGCTTCTCTTGCTCATTTTATCTTTTTCACCCTTTTTCTGCATATCCTAAATTGTTGTCTTGTTTTGTTTTTTTTTCCCCCGTGACTGGTTTAGTCTCTATGGGACTAGTCCAGCTCCTACTACCAATTTCACAAGCTATGTACCAATGACTGGTTCATCTCTTACCCCACCAGCCAGTTCAGTTGCCACTACATCTGTGCCTTCCATTACTGTCAGCTCTCACCTCACAGCAACAAGCCCTTCTTGGATGCAGCCTTCCTCTCCGAGGTACCGGCCATACACTGTTGCCCATTCTGGAGGCTTTTCAGCTTCCATCCCGCGCTCCTTGAATATTTCCATCCCATCTAGTTCACCAAGTCCTCCAGCCATGGCTGCTAGCCCTCCAGCCATGCCAGTCATCACATCCAGACAGAGACCCACAACGATGGGTCCACCTTTGTTTACTGCTTCACCCAGTACCTTGCGCAGGCGTTCTTCTTTACTGAACAGGATTCCTTCTAGGTATTTCACAAGAATGAAAGAG